CGTAATTGTTTTTAGCTCCTGGAAGACCGTCTCCAACTCTGGCGTCCACTCAAACTTCCTATCCCTTCTCAGCAACTGGAACAAGGGGGCAGCCTTTTCAGCAAAGTGCGGTACAAATTTTGCATCGTATCCTATTAATCCTAAAAACGACCGCAATTGGCGTTTGGACTTCGGAACAGAAAAATTTCGAATTGCTTCAGCCTTCTCGGGCAATGGTTTAATTTTGCCTCCGCCGACGATGTGACTCAAGCAGGTAATTGTGTCCCGAGCGATTTGGCATTTCTTTGCACTGAGTTTCAACCCTGCATTTTTGATTCTCTCCAGCACTGCTTCCAGGTGACGAACGTGTTCCTCTGGCGTCTTCGAGAACACTACAATATCGTCACCGTACACTACAACACCGTCCAAGTTTTCCAATATTTGTAGCAACAGACGTCTGAACGTGGCTGGTGCATTGCACAGTCCGAACGGCATCCGAACAAATTCGTATTGCTGCCCGTTGACACAAAATGCAGTTTTCTCTCTGTCGCTGGCTGCTACTGGTAGTTGCCAATAACCAGATCGCAAGTCAATTAGTGACAATACCCGTGCAGAGTGGAGCTGTTCAAATATCTCATCCGTCAGTGGCATCGGAAAGGCGTCCTTTATAGTTACACGATTCAGTTCTCGAAAGTCGACGCAAAATCTGTAGGTGCCGTCAGATTTTCTAGTGAGCAGCACCGGTGACGAGTACGGGCTGGTACTTTTACGGATGATACCTTTTGACAGCATATCGCGTACCTGTTTCTCTACCTCCGGCAGTATCTTGTGGGGTATCCTTCGGTACACTGGTTTACACGCGGCCCTTGGCATCAGCTCTATTTTGTGCTCCAACCAATCACAAAAACCATACTCATCGTCCGCAGTAGAAAACAATTCAGAATACTTTTCAACGCATTGCTTAACACATGAAATCGGACTCTCCGGAACGGTCGATTTCCTCACAACGCTGATGAGAGAATGCGTTTGCTTTCCTGAGCGTAATTCCTGTGCTTCCGATCCCATCTGCGTTGGCACCATGCTTGTTTTCAAGCCGGTGGTAAATATATATATATATATATATATATAATCCATCTGAACCAGCATATTCATGAATGGAAGACACGCTATATATTTAGTTTGTAAGATCTAGACTCGGTGTAATACAGCTTCTCATAATTATAAGTTTCACCAAATACGCAAAATTCAAATCCCAACTCGAACAGTTGTCGATTCGGTAAATTCACCGATTGCGTTACATGAGACAATCGTCGGCTTTCTAATATTACCATTGAATTGTGTAATATATACAGAATGTTGAAGTTAAGTCTGCTCAATGTCATCGAGATGCGTTTGAATATTTGATGCCTCGTTTCTCAAAAATCTCCTCCTATGGCAGCTGCAAACGAAGAACAATGCTAAAGGCAAACGTGAGTAGACCTTATACTAAGGATCACACAAAAATTGTTTGCCAAAATAAACAAGAAAAATGATCCCGAGTGGACCTAGAAGGAATAAAACGAAAGGCTCCGCGAAAACTGCTATTTCTTGTTGTTGGTTTCTCTATCGGCAGCAGCAGAAATGAATCAAATGACTATTGACTAATGCATCGCTCTAATTGATTGGTCTGTTGTTAATAAAAACGATCAATATGGAGCATTGTTCGCTGTCTTCACTCTCTCTCTCTCTCACTATTGATCTACTACTATGAGTTCACGGAATACTTTCCCATTATTCGATTGCCCTAATTTCAGTTCGAGTGGTAGTGCAACCCAATGACATCTGGGCAACACTTATCTACATACCCCTGAGCCTATCGGCTCCATTTCAAGAACCAACTGGCAGATAGTGTGACTTCACAAATTGTGTTTGGGCGCACAAGGAGGGATTATGTAGACGAATTCCAAGCGCCTCTACCGAGGCTAGGATGCTGTTTTTATTCGGCTTTGATCTGGGAACCCGAACACGGTAACGAGGCCGAAATGCTTCAGTCGCACTCACTGTGTGATCGGACTCGACGAGGTGTGTAACGATGGCACTTGTAATAGTTTTATTCACACCAGGCCGGATGATGTTCCCGAACTCGTGTAGATAGGCGCCTGCTCGTGCGGCCGATATACGTTGCTCCACAGGAACACGTAAACCGGTGCACACAAAATGAGACTGCAGAAGCAGGAATCCTGTCTTTGAGTTGTGAACACAACATCGGTCTAGACGTGAATACGATACGTAATTTTGCCGCGTGAAAAGTATTCTTCAATGTAGTTCCTAGTTTACGGCTAACCAATTCTGCAATTGTATCCGCTTTGAATGGGAGAGAAACGTATACTGCTTTCTTCTCTGCACTCGAAAGTCTTTCCCTCGGACGGTTATTTCTTAAAACGTTATCCACAAAATGTTCTGGATAGCCATTTCATAGGAAAACATCACGAATGAATCATAGTTCTGCATTTATGGTGTAATCGGCGCATATTTTTACCACCCTGTTTACCAAACACTAAATAAGATTTCTTATTCGTCTGAATGGCACAAATCGCATCCTAGTCACCGCAGAGGCGTTTGGAATTCGTCTACATAATCCCTCCTTGTGCGCCCAAACACAATTTATGAAGTCACTCAATCTGCCATGGCCGGCCCTCCACCTCCCAATCCCACCCCACCCCGAAATCACACAATTAACACGGATCAAGCTTAAGGTCCGATGGCAGGATCAGCCATTTCAGGTTTTGTGCAATTTGGACAGAAAACAATAACAACAATTCCCATTAGAATACCCATTAGTTTTGTTTCCTCTCTTCTATACAAAATGATGTGATATAAAATGTGACGTATTAGCCAGTTGACGAGTCACCGAGAAGAAATTTTTCTCTAAACTGCTTTTTTCATTCAGTGTGTGTCGCTGGTGTCTTCTGATGATGAAGTGTTAGGAAAGCAGTTTCCACAGTTCGACGGTTCATCTGGGTGATCAAAAGAAATATAATTTTTCTCCAGGCTAGACTTGAATAAAGAACACAACATTGTGCCTTAGTACGGTTTAACTTCGGAAAGATTTCACTGTTTCACAAGTGTTGCTTACAGCAGAAAAAGGCAAATGATGGTAGTTTAGCACAGTATCAAATCATTCTTCCACTTACGCGGGTAGCACGACGAGCCTACGCTGACTGACACTCTTCTGTCGACACAACAGGGGCTTTCCGCCCTAGACTGCCATCGCTTCTGCAAATCTTGGCTGCCATCCATTCAGGGTTGCGCAAACAACTCATAACTCGCTTGCTTCTTAACAAACAAACGTGTCTGAATCACTGCGGCATGCATACAAAATGAGAAACAGCTTGGCTTGTCTGTAAGTAACTTTAGGTCGTTGGTGTGCGTACTCGCTCACGTATGTCTTTATCCGTTAGCTTGTTTGCTTTGATGTGAAATACTCAAAGACGTGGTTCGAAGAGCCACAAAACACTCAGTCGTACGAGTTTGTGCTCCCGATAGAACTAGGATTTACTCTCCCTTTGGGGTGGTGTTGCTTTGATGATAGCGATCGATGCAGCACAGCCACAACCTATAACACAGTTGACTTTCTTTGACTTAGTTTTCGTTTTGTGTATTCCGTCCAAAATAATTTGGCTAATTTTGTTTATTTCTTTGACAGAACGACCTGATTTTTCTACTAACTGGTTATTTATATATGTTTGGCTTAATACAGTCGCTACAGCTGTATGACTGTCGTTGTACTGATTCAATCAATTAATTACACTGGTGAGGTAAAAAAAACAGCGGGATATGTTGAACTGATTTAAACAAAATAATCAATTCCACTGGGCTGTTTCCGCTGGATATTTTAGAGGTCACTAGTAGTATCTCGATGATTGGCAGGAGAACAGCACCCCAGGAGGTCTGTGTCGATTTGCAGTTCCACTGAGACTATCGTTATTTTACTAGACACAAAGTTCTTATGTGAGCTATATTGAGACTATAATACCCAGACATCCTAATTATCCTCCATGTATCTGTAACAAAGGTGTGCGTTTTCCGAGGCAGGTAGTGGGTGGAAAAGAACGGTGTGTGGTCAAACTAAAACCTGGTATCAGGGTATGAAAACCCTGACCGGGAGACTTGATAATGTAGGTCACGTTAGCTTCCCTGGATGGGGACCTCGGGATCATCGTAACCGGTGGTTAAAGACACTGAGTTTATGGTAAATGTTTTTATAATCTTAAATGAGTATAGAATTTAACAAAAAATTGACAGAGACTGTTAGAAAAACAAAAATATTGAATACAACTAAAACCAAATAATCAATTAGGGTGAATGAATGCTCAAGAACTATCATCCGGTATCTGATCCATCGTTCAGACGCGTAATCAGGTTTGTAGTCCGGAAACCCAAGAAGGCCCACTATGCAGGTCTTTTCGCTGAAACTCTCATGACTACGTCAGACCTCCAGAAATTCACATATTGAGAAAGCTTGTCCGATGATGATATGCATTCTCCGACCATCTCAATTTATGAAGGGTAAACATTTGCGGTGATGTTAGTCTTGTCCAGGTGTCTCCTTTGACGGGAAATGTCTCTCTGGATCAGCTTCACGCAACTGTACTCACATAGGAGTTTCGAAAGCCAGTATACCATAAACTAATAAGATGACTTGATTTACAACTGTTTCCATTTAGAACGTGGACTCGAGTTTGCCTACTGTTATTGATGAAATTTGATCGGATGAGGTAAATTACCTTTGGGGGCACACAATTTCAGATAAAGTAGCTCCAGAGTGTAGTACGGTTCAAGTAAATTCTCAGTGAAATGCGTTTTTACAAGATTGTAGTCTATCGGCCGAACAAAATTGCATGTTGCGAAATTTCCGAACAATAAGCATGCATGTGTCAGTTTGAGACTGAAGCATATTTTCCTTGCAAATCGTGTTGTTGTTCTTTTTCGTGGAATCCCATAAAAAAACAATACAGCAAGCGTGGTCTTCCACCTGGCGACAGAAATCGACTGGCCCAACCGGGTTTAGCTGTAGGTCCAAGGGAACGGTGCAAGAACATCGTTGTCAATGAGGCAGAGAGTAACTAACGTTTCCTTGCAGAACAGGTGGTGCGGACGGAAGACGGATCACGTGAGATCCGATGTTTATATCGAAATGCAACAATGTGAATTGTGTGATTGAGCCATGATTGCAATCTTATGAGCACTGTGGTTATTGATACTGGTGATACGAAGAAAAAACGAGTTTTTCAATTAATTTATGGTGGTCATTGCATGGATAACTACTGAAAGAAATTAGTAACTGTAGTAAATTAAATGTCATGATTGGAAATACCAGTGGCAAAAAATATCTGCGTTGCTAAAATTGTTTTCAGTAATCTATCACTGTTATACTAATACTATCCTACATTTATTTTTATAAATTGCGAATTCGCAACAAGTAAGAAATTTCAAGCATAAATAGAAGCATGCACGGATTTAAGAAACAAACTGGTGTATTATTTCCACCGTTCTTTAAGTAAAGTCACAGTTCAAGTGGGACGGGACCGCTAATTTAGCCTTATTTTTACACTTACGGTTGAATCAAACTCACCATGAAAAAGGCGTTTTTTCCTTGAGCAGAATTCAGGCCACCGCCAATTCAACTGTTTTTTTCTCGTCCTAGTCTTTTACAACCGTGGTCAATAGCTTTCCCCGAAGAGAAAACTATTTTATCCCACTGTTAGTGTGTATCCTCAAAACGTGATTAGTGTGTATTTCTTTTGTTTCTTTGGTGACGGTGACGCTTGAAACATTTTGTTTACATCATAATTTGCTTTGTGATTTTCTCTTGTCTTTAGAGCGACTGTTCCTTTTATGCACTGATAGATTAACTCGTAGGAATGGTCTTCCCGCCTAGCCGTTTTTCTTTTACGCATTCCCCAACCTCACCACGGTATAAACAGCCTTCTTACATAACACCACTAGTTTCCGAGACCGTCTTTGCCCCTATGCACGCGTATTTCCATCAAACCAGACATTGTTGGCAATCAATAATTAGTCCTTTTTCCGCTCGTCTATTTATAGGTAGATAAATTAGACAAAAAGATTGTATCGCAATGTTTCATCGTGAATTTTGCACATCAAATTGTAGAGTTAGGAATTTGATTAGTTGGATGCAAAATTCCGTGAAGTTTGGAACGGTTTTTGAATGGAATCTACTCCGCAGTTTCGAGTAGACTTTGCAGCTACGAGATTTTGAGCAGTTGTGTAGGCGATCAAACTTCTCTCAGTCAGTTGAGTTATACGTTATTTAGTTATTGATATGACCACACCACAGGACTAAATGTAACTTTAAGTTACCTTTCTTTCGTGACAATTTTCGTTCAAATAAATGTGTACTTTTTGCAGCGTGTTTCAGGGTAGTTGGCTTTAAATTCATAATTATCTTGAAGACATCTAGCTTTCTCTCTTTATTTGACCTTGATAAGCTTTATTCTTTTGGATGACGGTGTATCATCTCATCAGGCTACGTTGCACAATAAAGTTATGGGTGCAACCTAATCTTGTGATTCGAAAACAATCTTCCCAAATCATCTTACTCGATAACTGGAACAATACGACAAACGAGTGCAATTCCCTTTATCTGGATTTGTATTTCTCATATTCAGGAGCCATTTCTGCAGGTTCGACAATAAGAATAAAAATATCCATCTGACTCGATTCACACTACCGGTTTTGTCTGTTACGTCTTTTGGAAATTAGACAGGACCGCTAAAAGATGCCTTTTTAGATCGAATTCTAACCAGGGGATTAACAATTCAAACTTCGGTTTAATAGCTAACGCTTATTCGAAAGCGGACTAATGAAGATCGGTTACGGGTTTCCGCTTTTGTCCTTTTAGTCAGCAGAACGGAGTCACTTGCATTGTGGAGAAAAGAAAGGGGCCTGCATGGACGTCGCCTGTGGGAAAGTCTTATATGTGGCCTCAGATCAGCTGGTAGGGCATTCTCTGGATAGAGGTGTGCGTGTGGCGTCCATGCGCGGATTCAAATTTGATTGGAGCTCGTGAACATTTCACGATGACATTAAATGAAAACTGTTAATCTGCTAAACAAAAAAATTGAAGTTTACAGCTTCTCTCATCAAGTGATTTTTACGCATTGTAACTACCTGCGTTAATTGCACAATGTTGGGAACGATGCACACCGAATTGAGGCTCACATTCATGATTTTCGTGGTAATAAACTTCAATAGGAAAAGTAAATTCGTCGCTGTGGTCTAATTATTCCGTATCATTTCGCAATCTATGGATGATTATTCTTCATTTTTATTCCCCTCTGTCACCAAACGGATGCACTGCCTGTTTGTTTTCGTTTGGCCACCGTTTATATGCCGGGTTTGCTTGGCATACATCCAAAGTGGTTTTGCCAGACCATGTCTGTGTTTCGTTTTAACGCGAGGAAACACATCAATTCAGTTCAGTGCAACCCACCTCATTCCTTTGACCAAGTGCGTCTGGTTGCTGTAATGTCTGATTTTATTCTGTCCTGCAGGAGCTGTTTGAGTCTTTCACCTCTGGGTGTCTCAGACTGCGAGCGTGCGTGCATGCGTGCTCGCGTGGATCCATGCAAATGTGAGCATTGACAGGTCGGTGTAATTGGTTTTCTTTCCTCCGACCGTGCCCGATTCTTCACAAGAATCGGTCGGAGCGTTCGTTCACACAAGGTGACTTACGTGTGTGTGTGTGTGTGTGTATGTGTGTGCGTGTGTAATGTAGGAAGGGTGGACGCTGTCTGTTTTCCCCCGGCTAGTGCAAAAATCCGAAACTCCTTTCCACATTACAATGAGGAGCCTGATCGAAAGTTCATTCATCCATCCATCTTGTCTGGTTTGGACAGAACACAATTCACACTCCAGCCCCGTGTGATGATGGTATGAGAAAACAGGGAGGATTGATTAAGGCATATAAACAAATCGCAGTTCGGTCCAGTCCAGTCATGATGCGCCAGAGGAAAACCAAAATGTGACAACAGGTCGAGCCGGACTGAGTACAGCTGGCTATTTTTGCCCCACTGTGCCATTCAAGTCAAACATATTCAACGCATGTCATGCGTTCTATACGCTGTGACAGACGGATTACGTCACGTTATGTACAACTGTGGAGCATTTAGTTAGGTTACAGCGAAATATGCAAATTGGTGCTATCCGGATTCGTGTGATTACCACTTTTCGTTTTTGTGTCCGCTTAGGAAGAATGAGCATTGTGTTGTTGCTATTGTTTTAGGATTTTTGGTTGCCCTTAAGTTAAATCTAACTAAGAATAGCTTTATCTGTCCCGTTAGTGGGATCTTAGGCTGAAAATGGTGTTGTATAGATCAGTGCCAGGAAAACCATGGTGGTGAGTAATCTCGAGGATAAATAGAAAGGTAACTTGCTGAATCTTTACTTTCCGGTTCAACCGATAGAGCCACATACACAGATCTGCGCGCCCATTTCAATTCAAAACAATTGAGATACCATAGCGGTGTCATGCCGAATTACTACAAATCGTAATGGAATGGCTAGAAACTTCAAAACCACTTACTATCATTGAGTCAGGATCGGCAGATCAGACCATGTAAGCATTCCAATGTGGCCTTCTGACGACCATTCAAATACGAGTACATCGATGATATGCAGTAACAGGTCTATCGGAGAGTCGCGCAGTAGATTTTTAGTCACTTGAAGCAAAAATCTATGATTCCAGTTCGTGGAGCTTTGTTTAATCTAACGTTTTCCGTCGAGAAAGTTTTCCCCATACTATCCTCCTGGACACATGTATCGTCCGTCCTGGTCGTAACTATCGTCCTATCAAAAATCATAATGTCTTTGCATCGGCTTCGGTTGTTTAAACGTCACTCACCTTAACAAACTGCAATTGAAGACTGATTTCTTATGTGTTTTATATACAAATAGAAGGTAGCTGGCTACAACGGGTTGACTGCACCCCACAAAGTGGTCAGAGGACAATTGACCCCAAAATATTTACTCAAACGGATCGCAAAGTCACTAGCAAATGGTTGCGAGTTCAAGGGCAGTTCTTGATCAGTGTGATGGACGAGAGGTTACCAATGTTTCACCTTAAGTCTATTGACAGATTTATTGTGTGTGTGTGTGTGTGTGTGTGCGCGCGCTCATACGTGTGACGTAAAACGCGTGGAAGGGTCGTTCACCGATTGCAATGAGGCTCACAATGTGTACAACGGGATTATTTAAGATAAAAAGTGAGCCTGGTTGAGGGATCCAGAATTCAAGATACACATTACCGTCGGAAATCTCAGGGTATTCGACAGCCGGATGAGTTGTTCTATCTTCTGCTCAAATCCAAACATTGTCATCAATTTCCTCTCCTTCTCATCCCTCTAAATTACAACAGGTGAACCCAATGCGGATGCGTTTGTGATTCGGGCACGGCACAATTCTGCATTCCTGGCCACTGCAGATGGGGTCAACTGGGGTCGAGAGTCGATGCAAGCGGCACGTTGTGCTATCTTTGCTGTCTACGAGTATTTGGAAATGAGACTATTTGGTCCAGATGGTGCGCGAGCCGATATCCGTAACACAAGGGTGCGTCTTTGTCTGGCTGAGCACAGCGTTTCAGAAAAGATTAACCCAATTCGCAAGTACATGTACTTTTTTCTGGGGAACATAACGTTTTGTAAGATCTCCACGACGCTCTATCGCTCTCGGTTACATTCAGCTGGTCATAATTTCAAAAATGAGTATACTAGCTAGAAAAAACGTCATGCCTAGAGTGTGGTTTTGTTTTTGGACAAATGCATTACGGGATATAGGAAGGAAGTACTTCATATTTTTACCGTCGAAATCTAAGAGTCTCAGTTTCTCCGAGAGTAGGCAAAGCCATATTATTATCCACAGAAATGCGGAATACGTCTCTTAAAGCATATGCTAGAAGAGTGCCACTCATGGATCTACCGCTCTGAGAGTGCTTTCCCTAAAGTTCCTTGACGAAAAAGCAATATCCGGAGTTTCAGATTTTTTAAGGTTTTCACATCCACTGAATTTGTATTCTCGTGCAACGGGTCTAGCTGCTTCCTTTCGGCTATCCGTTTGGTCGACCATTGAGGGGTTATTAACTAGCAGAAATTATAATCAGGGGCATAATTCAAATGACGATACAGCAATATATGAACTAATTCTCTGTAGAAGTAAGCAGTAAGCCCGACACTGTTTACGACACCCAGCCACATCACATAATGTCTGAAAATATTGATTGGTTTGGTCATGAGGTCCACAAACAGTAGGTCCAAAATGACCTGTTTGATTGATAGTCCTGGTC